TGTGGAGAGTTGGAAACCCTGACCCAGAGAGCAGCTGGGGATCCTGCCGACACCTGGGAGCTCAGAATGCCACCCTGTCCAGATAGAGATCACCAGCCCCGTAGTATTCAGAGCCCTGGACTCAGGGCCAGAAGCTCCAGCTCATGGCCACCCTGTAACTAAAAAGGTTATTTCACGTCTCAGAGCCTCCTTCCCCGTGAAAGATAGGGACAGTCCCACGCATTCCAAGGGTAAACATAAAGACTGGGTTCATTGATAAAACTCTTAGGACATTGTTTTACATCTGTATTTACCTACCTGCCTCCCTGTCTTCATAGAATAAGGATAATAATAGTTGCTACCTATTAGAGTTGGGAGAATTCAGGGGGAAAAAATGAATGATAAATGCTTTGCTAGTCCCTAAACCTCTGGGAATGATTATTATTATAAAATGTCCCCTCTGTATGGGAGGCAGCACTGCCCAATAGGGATAGAATGTAAGCCAATGTATGCAATTTAAAAATGTCTTGTGTTCACATTAAAACAAAGTAAAAAGAAGCAGGTGCAATAGTTGCAGCAATAGATTCCCACTCCAAGCTCCAAGGATATCTGTGAGCGTGTCCTGGTATGTGTGAGCGGGGCCTCCCCTCCCCCAGCAGCGAGCCAGAAGAGGGTTCTGCAGTGAGGTAACTGGAGCTCCTCCTGGACGCAGAAGCCCAAGAATACTTTTAAAAAAATTTTTCTTTATTGATTATGGTATCACATAATTGTCCTCAACCTCCCACCCCCTTTTTGAAATGCTGGGTTGACTTTAATGGCCTTTGTGTGGGCAGGGAGCTGGTGGAAGTGATGGCTGCCTTTGGGAAAGAGGAAGAGGAAGAGAGAAATATCCTGCAGTCTCTTGCAGACCACAGATCTTGGGAAGCTCAGCTGTAGTGGGAGTCACAGAATCACCCCACCCCCACTCGGCCTGGGGAAGAGGCAGAGACCTCAAGGCTCTGTGGAGAGGACGGGGATCCCACTGCTGGGCGGTGCACAGGCAAGTGGATGGCCCCCTGGGGGTCCCCTGACTCAGGCTCTTCTCTGGTTGGACACCTTGGAACTCCTGGCCAGCATGATAGTCCAACCTTGCAACCCATCAGGTGCAGAGGCCCTGAGTTGTGGGTTCTGTGATTCAAAGCTTTCCGTGTGCCCTGTGTCATCCCCCCCACAAACACACCCCTTCCCCAGTTCTCCCACCACACACGTCACGCAGGCGCCCACGCCCACGCCCACACCAAATTGCTGCAGCCCTCCGGAAAGGAGGGTCAGGAGGAGCGCCTCAGGGCTGAACCGCCTTCGGGAGCGGGAGCGCATGCTGGCCTGGAGTTGTGGAGTTGCCAGGGAGTGCAAGCATCAGGGGGCGTTTGGCTTCGCCAGGGTGCCCAGAGCTGCGGAAACCTGGAACCGCTGGCAGTGGGTCCTTTGCCCTCAGGAGGAATAACTTCCCTGTCTACCCCCACCCTAGTGTCTGAAGCCTCATGGGGACTCAGCCTCCCTGTCACCAGCAGTAGCTCAGAGTGCCAAGGTGATGTGCCAGGATGCCTGGAGAGGGGCTCCCTTTAGGGACAGAGCTTCACATTGGGGTTTGGGGGACTAGAGATGACAGGATTTTCCGCAGAGGGCTCTGGACACCACTGCTCCTCCGCGGCTTCCCTCCAAAGGTGACCTGGGAGTGCGTGCACCCCTCCCGCATGTCCCAGCCTCCACTGGGCTTTTCCTGGGGACTCTCCCGCCTCCCACTATCCCTCCTCTTTCCTGCACCCCACCCCACCTCGCTTGTCTTTAGGAATGGGGTGTAGTCTTTGGGTACAGCTGTATACCCACTGATGAGGAGCAAAGCACGCTGCTCCCCTTAGGCAGGCCCTGGGCACAGGGAGGTGGCCTGAGGTTTGGGGTGAGCTCCGGGACCCAGCAGCAGAGCCCAGCCCGAGCCTCAGTGAGGGAGGCAAGATGGTGAGGTGAGATCCAGTGCCGCAGCAGCTTGCACTCCCTGAGCAAAAAGCAAACTGCAGTTTCCAGCAGTTTTTGGTGGAGGTGTTGGGGGTGGGGGGGTGGGGAGGAGGGTCTGGGAGAGCGACCAGGACACAGATTTTTTTTGGGGGGGGGACTTAGGGATGGACTGGGATACCTCAGTCAGAGCGCAGGATACAGGACTGACTGCACATATAGGGACAAAGCCCGGGTTCTAGACTAGCCCTGGGAAGGCGCAGGACGTCTACGGAAAGCGGAACGTTCGGAACTGCAGAGCCTGGACAGAGGAACCCCTAGGGCCTTGATGGCCGCACTCTGAGACGCGGGCTTCATTCCTCCACAGCGAGGATCAGGGCGACCCAGGGACAAGGCACAGACACGGACTGGCTTTGCCCCCGCGGTGCACACACAAGCCCGGTGCTCTCCCAGCCTCGGGTCTCTGCAGCCCGGAAGGAGGGCGCACCGGGCTGGGGTTCAGTGGCTCGGAGAGAGCCCAGTGCGTTTGTCCAACCCCGGGCGCCTGGAGACGGAGCCATCCTCTGCACAGACGGAGACGGCCAGCCCAGGATGGCCTCGAAAAGTCCCCCCACAGAGCCGTGGGTCCGAGTGTGCCGTCCCTGTGTGCAAACGCGATGGGGACCGACCGGGAAGGCGCTTGTCCCGGTTTCCGCGGGGAGCGGGGAGCGCGCTCGCAGAGGGCTGAAGACGGTCTCTTACCGCTTTCACAGTTTTCCTGGCCGAACCCAACCTTTCAGTTCCAGTCTCAGTTAAAAGATACTCATTTCATTTAAAACAGGCAGTCTAAGACTACATCCCACCTCCGCCTCCCTTGGGGGCGCAAGATAATAGTTTTCAGGTTAATAGAAGGTAAATAGTTTATCTATAACGCTAAAAAAAAATTGGGGTGCATCCACATCGGGGATGCCCACCAGACGGCACTTAAGCTCTGCGTCGGCTGGTCCAGCCGGGCAGCGGCTGGGACACACTCACCCGGCGCGCGGCTCCTGCCTTCGCTGTGCGCACTCAACGCTGGAGCGCAGGAGGCGACGCGGGAGGCGGGTCGGGTCTCTCCCGGTACAGCGAATTTAAGGTTCATCCGGTTTTTGAGCCCGGGCTGGGTGGGGTCTTGGGAAGAACCTCGATTTCAGGCCACCCTGGACCCCGGTAGGGAGGGTACACGGTGCCGGAGACCTGTGTGTATGCCTAGTGCGGTGCGCGCCCGGCTTCCCGTCTGCGCGCCTGGAGTTGTCTTCCGACAACCCCTCGCCCCTCGCTGCGGCGTGTACGCTTTCCGCCACCGGCTTCACCCGGCCTAGGACCTTCCCGCGCTGGGAACGGACCATCGGCACCCGCCCCTGCACCCGGCACCCACCCGTCTCTAGAGCCGGGCGCAGTTTCATGGGGGGGGGGGGGAGGAGGGATGATCAGCGGGGAACTGCGGCTGAGTCCGAAATCCGGATTCGACGACCTTTGCGTAACTTTAGGGGAAACCGTCCAGGGCGCCGGTGCACACTTAGCTTCTTTTCTGAGCCGGTTCGGGCCGGGCAGCTCAGGAGGACTCAGTTGGGTCCCAGGCGTCGTCCAAGCTTCCCGGCTGCGGGCCAGGCGGCTCGGCGCGCCTTTGCGCACCACGGCCACTTGGGGTCGCACTTTATGCCCGTTTGAGCCTCTCGGCTGCCGGCTGACGCTGGGGATCTGCTTAATCGTTACAAAACGTTCAAACAAAAACAGGCTGGTTCCCCAGCAGCCGAGAGCCGCACGGAGCATGGGAGGGAGCATCGGAGCATCGTCCAGGTCCGGGCTGAGCCCCGTGCCTCCGGAAGCTCGGGGTTCCCTGCATCGGGCTGCGAAAAGATGTCCAGCGCTGTTTGTGCGATTCCCTCCCCGCGTCCTCCATCTGGTGCATTTGCGGGAGGGGTGGGCGCCGTGAGCGCTGGGGCCGGTGGAGTTCTATCTCAGGGTTAGGCCAGCGCACCCAGGAGGAGGGGCACGGCCCCTGGTTGGCTTGAGGAGGGTCTCTTGGAGGCTGAGAGTTGGATTTGAACACAACAACTCTTGGAAACCCAACTCGCCTCTCCACACACAAATACGCGCCGCTCTGCAGACACACGCGGCGCACACACGGCCCTCAACGCGCAGGACACGGCGCGGCCCCCACGGGGCGGGGGCGCTTGGGAACAAAGGACCCGAGCGAGAGGTGTTGTCCCGGCGCTCGTTCTGAGCCTCCTTGGGGGTGACACGGACCGGGGGGAGGGGGTGGGGAAACCAGAGGGAAAAGAGAAGCCCCGCGAAGTGGAGGAAGCGGCTGCTCGGCCTGGAGGAGGAATGCGCGCACCAAAAGCGAGAGGGCAGGGCAGGGGCCCGGGGCTTGGCAGGGGTGGGGGGCTGGGCCCTGGCCCGCGGTCCTACTTGGCTCGGGCCCTGGGCTCGGCCTCCTCCCCCGCGGCCCGGGCCTCCAGTCAGCTGACGCGGGGGGCGGGGGAGCTGTCAGGCGCGCCCCGCCCTGCGCCGCGGGCCGCGGGGGCCGCGCAGCCATTGGCCGGCGCGCCGGGCCGCCCGGGCCCCCGCTCTCCGGTGACATCCGGAGGCGATAAAAGGGAACGGCGGCGCCAGGCTCGGCACAGCTGCACCGCCGGGCTGTGAGCGGCTGCAATTGGGAACCCAGGACCGAGAGAGCTCGGGAGCGAGCGGCAGTCGCTGGCCCCGCGCCTCCCCTCCGCACAGCGGCGCGCCCCGCTCGCTCCGCTGCCCCTCCCCGCGCGCCCCGGCCCCAGCCCCGGCCCCGGCTCCGGCTCCGCCACGGTCCCGGGCGCAGGGAGGGCGCAGGCGGCTCCGGGACTCTCCGGCGGCGCGCCACCGCGGCTCCAGACAAAGGCTTGGCCGGCGGCCCCGGCCCGCGGCGCCCTCGGCTCCCCGCTCCCCGGGCTCGCCGCTCTTCCCCGCTCCCGGCTCGGCGCGCCCCGGCCGGCCGCAAAGTTTCCCCGCGGCGGCTGCGCCTCGCGTCGGCGATGGCCGCGGAGCTGAGCATGGGGCCCGAGCTGCCCACCAGCCCGCTGGCCATGGAGTACGTCAACGACTTCGACCTGCTCAAGTTCGATGTGAAGAAGGAGCCGCTGGGGCGCGCCGAGCGCCCGGGCCGGCCCTGCACGCGCCTGCAGCCCGCCGGCTCGGTGTCGTCCACCCCGCTCAGCACGCCCTGCAGCTCGGTGCCCTCGTCGCCCAGCTTCAGCCCCACCGAGCAGAAGACCCACCTGGAGGACCTGTACTGGATGGCGAGCACCTACCAGCAGATGAACCCCGAGGCGCTCAACCTGACGCCCGAGGACGCGGTGGAGGCGCTCATCGGCGCGCACCCCGTGCCACAGCCCTTGCAGAGCTTCGACGGCTTCCGCGGCGCGCACCACCACCACCACCACCACCACCACCCCCCGCACCCGCACCACGGGTACCCGGGCGCCGCCGGCGTGACCCACGAGGAGCTGGGCCCGCACGCCCACCAGCACCATCACCATCATCACCAAGCGTCGCCGCCGCCGTCCAGCGCTGCCAGCCCCGCGCAGCAGCTGCCCACCGGCCACCCCGGGCCCGGGCCGCACGCGGCGGCCGCGGCGGGGACGGGGTCCGGGGGCGGCGGCAGCGTGGAGGACCGCTTCTCCGACGACCAGCTCGTGTCCATGTCGGTGCGCGAGCTGAACCGCCACTTGCGGGGCTTCACCAAGGACGAGGTGATCCGCCTGAAGCAGAAGCGGCGGACCCTGAAGAACCGGGGCTACGCCCAGTCGTGCAGGTACAAACGCGTCCAGCAGAAGCACCACCTGGAGAACGAGAAGACGCAGCTCATTCAGCAGGTGGAGCAGCTTAAGCAGGAGGTGTCCCGGCTGGCCCGCGAGAGAGACGCCTACAAGGTCAAGTGCGAGAAACTCGCCAACTCCGGCTTCAGGGAGGCGGGCTCCACCAGCGACAGCCCCTCCTCTCCCGAGTTCTTTCTGTGAGTCTTGGCCATCCCGGCCCCCTGCCTGCCCTTGTCCTGGCCCGGACTCCCCGTGTCCCCAGTTCCCAGCCCCAGACTCCCCCTGGACCTTGTCCCTGCCATGGCCCCAGCCTTGATCTGTTTGACTCGAGGGAGAGAAGCAAGGGCGCTCGGGACGCGGGCGACGGGAGGGCGCGCGGGCAGGCTGGGGACCTTGGCCTTGGCGAGATCCATGCGCGCCAGCGCCGCCTCCCAGCCTGGAGCGGGGCCAGAGAGAACCCAGGGGGTGGGAAGTCCCGCAGAAACTTTTCTTCAGGCTGGAGGGCGACGAGGCATGGTCCTGAGGAGTCGCCAAGGACGCATGGCTTTCTGAACTTGGTGCGTTAAGCCGGGGCGCTCGCATCCTCACAGCCTGGAGGAGAGCTGCGAGGAGAGAGGGACCCTGGCGATCTGGCAGGCGCGAGGCGAGGAAGGACCGACAGACGGACCTGTCCGTCCAGGTCCGGAGAATCCTGGCTCTCAGCCCCCGAGAGACGCGGACCTCGGTTAGAACATTCTGCGCGCGCAAAAAAAATCATCAGTTTTATTGCCTGCTCGATTATATAGAAAAAAATACGAAAATCTGCATTAAAAATATTAATCCTGCATGCTGGACATGTATGGTAATAATTTCTATTTTGTAACATTTTCTTGTTTAACGTTAGCATGTTGTTGATCATGGTCATAACCCCCTCGTTTCTTTGAGTGAGAAGGGAACGCAGTTTGGAAACTCCGGTGGCTGCTTGCTTGCCGGGGTCAGTCTCCGCTGTGGGCTTGTAAATACCCGCCTGCCAAACCGCTCGGAGACCCTGGTGGCAAACCGAGTGCCGTCTTTGTTTGGGTTTATTATGATGGTATTTTTTGTAAGTAAAAAAGAAAAAAAAATTGGGGGCATTGGGCATCAGAAAATAACTTTCTTGGGCACTTTTGGAAGTGACTTGTTTTGTCCGCTCCCCCGCCTGCACTGGGTCCTCTTTTTCCTTCCGCTTTAGTTTTCAATGTTGTTGGTTTTTGAGAGAAAAAGAGGATTGGGGTCCCAGAACCCCGGTACCAGGGCAGGGTAGCTGCCGAGTTTCAAACCCCAAAGGCCAGGAAGCTCCTTGCTTCCACTTTTGTATTTTATGGCTAAACGGACACCCCTACCATGAAGGGAAGGAAAACATCTTGCTTGCTTTTTTTTATTGCAATCAGAACCACCCTGGGGTCCCTTCACCACCCTCCAGGCTGATACTAATTGCCCGGAGCTGTGCCCCTAAGGTGACCGGCTCCCCCAGCTCGGACACTGCCCAATGGTGACCTGCACTTGTGATAAACCAACGTCCACCCTCAGAAAGTACTGGAAACCCAAACACTGACAAGTCATTTTGCAACTTTCACATGTTAAGTGTGTTTCTTTCCCTGCTTTTGAGCCATCAGGCGAGTTATTGGTGGTGTCCTTCCCTCCCCCCTTCAGTTGTATAGTAGTTATAGGGAAGACCTGGGTGTTTTTCTTTATTATTACATTTTTTTTTCCTGCAGGTCAGTAAAAGGATTTACGTTGCACTGACAAAAATACCAAAACGAACGTGTGTGTTTTTTTGTTCCCATTTGAAACCGCTGGCGCTGCTGGCCGGATGCATTTCTGAGTTTGTATTAGTTGATAAATTAACAGTTAATAACAAGATTGTATGAACCGCATGGTGCTTGCAGTTTTAAATATTGTGGATATTCGTCCCTGCATCAGAAACGAGCTTTGGTTTTTACGGATTCAACTGTGTTGAAATCAAATCTGCTGCAACAGAAATTGTTTTTATTTCATGTAAAATAAGGGATCAATTTCAAACCCTGCTTATGATATGAAAATATTAAAACCTAGTCTATTGTAGTTTTATTCAGACTGGTTTCTGTTTTTTGGTTATTAAAATGGTTTCCTATTTTGCTTATTAAAAGCACGGAAATGGTGTTTATTTAGAGGACTCGCTCCGTGTTCGCCTGACTTTGACTTTCTTCTCTTGCCTCTTCAAGTGTCGCACCAACTTCGAAGGCACTCTCAATGCCCCTGGCCGATGGAGAAACAGACCAAGTGCAGGCAAATTTCTCCCTGGAGTGAGTGAGTGTGTGTGTGTGTGTGTGTGTGTGTATGTGTGTGTGTGTGTGTGTGTGTGTATGTGTGTGTGTGTGTATGTGTGTGCATGGCTTCAAACGTATTTTTTTTTTTTTTTTTTTTTTTGCTTCTCACCCTAGCTATAGACTCCACCTCAGTCAGGAGCCGATTTGTGAGCGGAAGGGGGCATAAGGCACTTTTTTGAGGCTTTCAGGCTTGGGCATCAGGCCAGCCTGCTAGCCTGCCCCTGCTGAAGTGGAGGTTAGCAGAGCCCAGGACTCTGGGAACTGCCATCCTGATGGGGAAGCAGGGTCCCCTGGCAATGGGGCTCAGCCTAGCCCTGTCACGCTGGCCACCCTGCTTGAGCTGAAGGTTCTCAGCTCTGTCCTGCCCAGTGCATCACCCTGGGATCAAGGGGATCAGCCCAGAGCTAGAGTGCTCGCTCAGAGAGAAGGCCTGCTCCCTCCCTCCAGGGCTTATGGGAGCAGGGGGATCCAGCACCAGGGGGAAGACCCTCAGACAAGAAGTCCCTCTGTGCCCAGGATGCACCTGTGAGCCAGGCCTCGATCCTCAGCTTCACAGAAGAGCGAGCATGGCCAGATCAGAACTTCAGAGACTCCCCAAATCAGGCTTCAGAGCGGGGGTGGGGGGTTAGGGAGGTGGAGGGTGTGATTGTAGCATCATCTGGTGCAGCAGCTCCAACAGCTCCAGCCTCAGCCTGGCAGTCCTAGAATCTTGCCTTTCCCTCCAACCCTCCCTCTCAGCTTCCTGGCAACCCCGTTTATAACTCAGGGTTGGCCTTAGATACCCCTGAGATTCCCAGTGGGACCCCCTTCACCAAACCCGAGAATAGTCCCCCGATTCTTTGGCAATGGCTGATTGTGAGGAGCTTCTGGTCTCTTGGGACTCGGTGTCTGCAGTCCGGGAGACTCAGCCTTCCAGCCCTGCAGCTCTCTGGCCTGGAGCTCCTAACGTGGCTTCAGGACCCGAGGGGAAGGTGCAGAGACCCAGGCAGCAGCGCCCCAGCCTGAAGGAAAGCTGCGAAGAGGCTTGGAAGTAGAGGGAGGGAAGAGATTTTGACCTAGGTCCCTGGGGGCCTGGGAGTGGGTATGGTGGCTGGGTCTGGAAAAGTGGGGAGGGAGGGTCCCAAAAAGTTAGGATACAAATAACATCAGCAGTAATTTACATGGTGATGGCTCTTTGGAGTTGTTTAGTAGGAGAGAAGCCAGAGATTTCCGTTTGAATTAAATTCCACGTTTATTTCACCAACCCAAGGAGGTACGGGGCGGGCGGGAAGAAGGTGCTGGCCGTGATGTGGTCGAGGAGGAGGCCGGGTCTGGCTGAGGGGTATCTGCTGCATGCCTGCGGAGGAAGGAGCGAGGGGGTCTGATTAGTTGGGTGATTGCTGTGCCAGTGCACCGCACACATCTTGATGAGAATATGCTCACACGTACAGGTGTCCCCCCTTTGGGGCGAAAGAGGTCTTACCAGGAAGCGCCGAGAGACAGCCCGCTGCTGTGAGGCTCCGGGACCATGGTAATAATGGCCGCAGCTCCCAGTGGTGGGGCTTGACTGGTCCAGGAACCATCTCCAGCGGACTAGTAGCCTCCACCCGAGTTCCCTGGGCTCCGTGAGAAAGGCCTCTGGGAGGGGAGGGTCGCAAATGCCAAAGCGCTGGCTTTCCTTTCTGGGAGCACAGAGACCCAGACTGACCCAGGGACAGACCTCCTCACGCTGCATCCAGAGGCCTTGGGGGCTCAGGCCGGTTGGGAGTGACCCATTGCATCTCTGAGAAGCTGACCATCCATCCCACAGTGAGCCCTGGTGACACGCTGATGCACAGACACACAAACAGGCACACCTCGCACTCACAGTGATGCCCTCACCGGCCCTGCGAGTCCCTGCACCGAGCCACCATTTAAGCACCAACCAGCGGTGGTACAGGCAGGCGAAAGGCAGCGCCCAGGTGGAGGCAGCGCCCAGGAGGAGGCCGAACCGCCAAAGCTTCTAGGGTGGGCTCCAGCAGCAAGCAAGCTCTGGCCACGTCCAGGCCGCCCGCAGCCCGCCATCCAGCCGCACCGAAGACCCCAGACCAGGTCCCCATAAGCTCAGGAAAGAGCGAACAGTATCCACAGAACCCCAGGCTTGTCCCACCCGGTGGCACCTGGCAGCCCCGTGCTCCGGTTGGTTCTGAATCCTCCAGGACCCCAGGGAAAAATCTCCCTGCACTGGAGCCTGCCCGGCTAGCGCTGGTCCCAGGTAGACAGGCTGGCGCCTGAACTTGGGGACGCCGGCACGCAGAGACAGACACTCACAGACACACAGAGACAGACACAGACACCAGGACACACGCAGGCCCCAGACCATGGCTGCGCTCCAGGCTGCACTGGGGCGGCCTTGGTCCCCTTGGATGAGAAGGCCACTTTCCTGGACCTTCAGCCTCCAGCCTCTCCGGTTGGGATGGCGCTGGGTGCAGCTCCCAGGAGCCCAGGTCCTCGCCAGCGGAGGGATGGAGGCACCAGCTCCCTCCTCTTCTCCTGGAGTCCTTACTTTGCCAGTTCCCTTTCCTTCCTAAACTCTTCATTTCAGAAAACTGCTTCCCTCTGTTTTCCCCTCCCCTCCCCTTTCCCCAGCCCCCTGCCTTTGCTTTCCCCCACCTCTGCCTCTCAGGAAGGGCTACAGGAGAGGTTCAAAGCTATGAGAGAGGTTCTGAGGTGCCTGGCAGGTGTGGGGTGAGGTGAAGGGAGGAAGATGAGGATCTGGTGTCCCGGAACCACTGCGCAGCTCAGTGCCAGTGCCAGGGGCTGGTCCAGCTATCCAGCCTTTCCCTTCATCCTTCACTAGCCAGCCTGTGGCAGGGCTGACTGGGGATTGCCGGGAGTGAGGTCCCCACTTCGAGAGAGGGGACAAGCCTCCATTCTATGAAAAGGGGCCTCGGGGAAGCTGGGTATGGGTCCTGGACCAAGATCCCTCCGGCATTCGCTCCCAGCCAGCCTTCCTTCCCTCCAGGGTGGCTGCGCATTTCTGTGGCAGGGCAAGCACTCTCCTTGTCTGAGGTGCCCACCACCCTGCACCGGGCACTGTGCCTGTCCAGGGCCTCCTCTCGTCAGCCTCTTTGTGGGAGCTGCCAAGAACCACACCAGCTATACTGGGACCCTCATCTGACTCTGTGACTGCGAGCTACAGATCCCGCCTTGCCTGGCAACCCCCCACTCCCTCAGCTACCCACACTGCTCCTCAAGTTCTTTCTCTCCAGGCCCCTGGAAACAGCTGGGTCTACAGATTCCACTTGTTCTCTCGCAGGCTTTTAGATGCAAAATCCACTTCTGAGCCCTTGGGTTTTCACAAAGAAAACCCCTGAACTGCCTTCTTGCACAACCCTCTCAGCTCCAGTCTGCTGTCTGTCGGCCTGGCCTCCCCTCCCAGAGATAGCAGTATTTGGATTTGTTGTGTAAGGAAGGGCGGATTAGAGGTTTGCTCTGTCTCTTCTCTCACCCCACCAAAATAAAAGTCCTCACATGGCGAGTCTTGTAGACATGGTCTTTTTCAACAGCAGCACTCCTAAAAAAAGCCGGTCATAAGTGAAGAGCGCTCCCAGCACTGTAGCTCTGGAGATATGCCCACTTCTAGTGGGAGAGCCCCCTGCCCAGACTGTACTTGGTTCTCAGAAGCAACCACCATGAGGCTTCTCAGCGGGGCGCCTACCTGGCTTAGAGGACAGGCTGCTGAGGGAGAAGGCAGCTGTTTCCCTACTCTGGAATTTCATCCTTTCCACATAATTTCTTCTCCCTGGGAGCAGGTGTCCGGACCACAGAGAGC